TTATTTGTTCCCTTTAACTGGGTCATGATGATGGTGTTTCCTTATTTAACTCCCAGAGAACAAAACGCTGCTTCTGAAACACCAGATTTTCCTAATTCTGGATTTTCTCACCGATCACGAGGGAATTTTTTTTATCCACTATTTAATCCTGGATGGTTAAAAGGTCACAAAGATCAGTGTCTCTCCTGTTTATGTTTATGCATTTGGCAGACGCTTTTATCCAAAGTGACTTACAGAGTAGACACAATATTCCATTTCCCATTACTAGTTGTGACATAAGCCTTTGCAAGAGGATTCAAGTAGATGGGAGCAGTACCCTTAACTCAGTTTTTTTAGCCTTTTGACTGATTTTTCAAGAGCCACAGAATAGTTTGTGCTATGACTATGTAAACACCGAACACACCAAAAGAAAGAGTAGACTCTCTTCTTTCATCAGGAAAAAAAAATTGTTTCTACCTTATTCCGTTCTTCCTGGACTTGCGTCTCACCGGCGACGTGTTCTCTCATAGAACCGTTACCTTTTTCTTATTTGCCTACAGTCTATGCTCATCTCCCATCAAAAGTGGCACTGCCCCCTAGAGGGTCAATTTGTTACTACATACTCTGTCTAGAAGCCTGATATTTACGGACAAGCTTTAGCAGATCGTCCCCCAGACACTCTCGTTGAAAAACATAAAAGACGTCTATAGACGTCTTTGGCAGCCAATAAGTTAAGCACTTTACAGGCTAGCATCAGGGACTTGGATTTGATACGGGCAGCCAGAGGTAACCAGTGGAGTTCAATGAACAGTATAGCTTATCGTCATAGTGATGATAAATGTAATATTGTGTCTACTCTGTACTTTGGATAAAAGCTTCTGCCAAATGCATAAACATAAACATAAACATAAACCTAACTCGTGAGTGGTGTTTTTTTCCCAGATGGGGGGCGATTTCCTGCTGGACGACGGGGGGAAGGTTCTCCTCCGACACCCGTCTAAAATCCCCCTGGACCGGCCCAGCGTGGACGCCATCCTGCAGGCGGCCGGAGGCGTCTAAGCCCCGCCCCCTTTCCCCCCCGACGCCACGGAGACCAGAGCGGCTCTTCGGTTCTCGCCTATGACGCCTCGCCTCGCTCTCACGGAGCCGTGAAGAGGCGGGGCCGATCCCAGAGAGACAACCCGCCCTCTCTGTGGCGTCGGAGCCCGGATACTGGACTAAAACTGTTTTATTCTGGACTAAAACTGTTTTATTCTGGACTAAAACTGCTTTATTCTGGACAAAAACTGTTTTATCCTGGAATAAAACGGTTTAACCTGGACTAAAACTGTTTTATTCTGGATTCAAACTGTTTTATTCTGGGCTAAAACTGATTTATCCTGGACTAAAACTGTTTTATTCTGGACTAAAACTGTTTAATTCTGGACTAAAACTGTTTTATTCTGGATTAAAACAGTTTTATTCTGGACTAAAACTGTTTTATTCTGGACTAAAACTGTTTGATTTTGGACTAAAACTGTTTGATTCTGGACTAAAACAGTTTTATCCTGGACTAAAACACACCTTTGTGCTTTAACCTGAAGAGTAGTGCCTTAGGACGGCCACCTCTTAGAGGTGCTATGATTCCAGACTAACCACTTCTTAGAAATATGAAGAAAAAGGACAAGAATGTTAAAATAATAGAGTATAATTTAAAAAAATGAACACAAACATATATTTTATGAGGGCCTGTGAGCAGATGGCTTCACAGAGCCGAAAAAAAAGAAAAATAATTAAAATATTCAAACGTTAGGGTTAGGACATTGTTTATCTTCCGATTTCGTACAGACAGTAAAGTTTCATTTCCACCTCAGAAAGCTGCTAGTCACATGACCTAATCAAAATGGCCGACTTGGATGTGGGAGGAGTTGGAGATCCAGAAATTAATGTTAAAATTATTATATGAGTATAAATTAAGATAATTAAAACAAACACATATTTTATGAGGGCCTGTGACAGATGGCTTCACAGAGCCGAGAAAAAAAAAGAAAAAAGAAAATATTCAAACATCTAAAACTATTTACGGCCATTCCCTGAACTTCTGAGTCTTTCCTCTAAGAAAAGCACAGAATATTTTAGCTCTAAAACCAGGTTTTAACTTTTTTTTTAATCAGTTTGGGCCTTTCAGCTGACATCCAACTCCTCCTCTAAGCCTTTATGTGCTCTTTGTTCTTTTTTATCTTCTGAATTTAGAGAGAGGCACTTTTTTTTAACACATTTTGGCTGTTTTGGGGATTTTAAAGAAGATCCAGAGGTCCCAAACACATCCGATTGGTGGCTTTGCAAAAAGCCTTTGGCCGGTAAAACCTGCTCATGTATATCTTAAAGAGGTCCGGTATGTCCTGATTCTGAAGAGGGTCCCTCCAGCTCTCCAGCTTTTTCCTTTTTTGGAAGCTTTTAACAAATATTTAGGATTCCATGAGCAGACTAGCTGGAAGTCCTGTGAGGTCAAAAGAAGAGGAACCAAAAACAACACGGACCTGAATCTGTGCCTGTATTCAGTTTTCTTAACTGTAATTCATAAAACAGACAGAGTCCCAATAACTGAGAAAAAAAAGTGATTCATCTTCCATTCTGAAACTGGACTCTTGAGAAATGTGCATAGCATGAGCTAAAGGTTTGGAAACTGGAAACTTCTAACTGGACTTATCTGTAAAACATGTAGGAAATGAAGTTAGAAATAAATGAAGTTCTATTTATCTGCTGTCTGTGTGTTTTTTCTATCATCAGAGGAGCCGGTCCACCTCTTACACTTTTATTTTTGGCCTTTGAA